CTCGGTGCGAGGCGGTACTGGGTTCCACGCCAGTCCCGTGGCCCAGGTGGGCTGCCCTGCCGGGCCTTTAGCCGTAGAAGGGGCCAGCGCCGTGTCCCGGTCGATCCGGAACGCTTCCCGCGATTCCTGGCGACCGGAGTCGTCGTGCGAGGCTAAAATCCGAAAGTTGGGGGATGTTGGGTGCGGCGGGGTGCTGCTGGCTCGTCGGCGTCCGCCCCGCCTTGGCGCTGGGAGCATCCCCTGAACCGCTGGGCAGAGCCGCATCCCAGCCGAGCCGGGCTTCGCGCGCCCTGGGAAGGTGGGAATGGTGGTGGGATGCTGCTGGGCGGGATGAAGAATGAGGCCGTCCCGTCTATGGCAGCTTGCGCGAGACTGCCAAGTATGCCGTGGTGGCATGGGAAAAGTGGTTTTCCAAGCCCACGGATCGATCCTGGGGGATGGTAGCCTTACTGTAGGGGTGTCTGGGTGCAGCTGGGCTCAGGACTGGGAAGACTGAGAGGGGAATCTGGGTCCCGATCCGGCTGGGATGTCGGGAAGGAGGGAGCAGAGGTGTGTGGGCTGAGCAGCATCCTCCCACATGGCTCGGCAGAGGTGAGGGCAACAGGCATCCGGATGCTTGGAGAAGCAGGGGTGGGCATTCCGGAATGGGGACAGCCCAGTGTCCCCGTGTCCTCAGGCTGCTCTCCTGAGGGGATCGCTCTTTTCCTGCCATGCACATCCCCTAAGGGCACGCTAAAGGAGATGGGAACAGCAGCATGGGGCACATCAACCTGTAGGGAGCCAATCTTGAGTTGGTTTTAGAGGCCACAGCTTCTCTGGGGTGACGGGGAGCCGGAGCTGGTGTGAGCAAGAGGAGGGACGTGCCGGGGACTCTTGTCCCGCGCTCTCTGCGTCCCTTCCATCGGTGACCCCCTGTTCTTCCCTCGTGCTGCTGGCAGGCCTACGAGCTCTCCACGCTGACCGGCACTCAAGTCCTGCTGCTGGTGGCCAGCGAGACGGGCCACGTGTACACGTTTGCCACGCGGAAGCTGCAGCCCATGATCACCAGCGAGACGGGGAAGGCGTTGATCCAGACGTGCCTCAACTCCCCGGACTCGCCCCCGCGCTCGGACCCGACCACCGACCAGCGCATGAGTGCCACGGGCTTTGAGGAGACGGACCTCACCTACCAGGTGTCCGAGTCGGACAGCAGCGGGGAGACCAAGGTAACGTTCCCTGTGCTCAGCTGGCACGCCTGGGAGGCGCGGGCTCTTCCCGTGGGACTCTGCTGGGAAAGCCCTGAACATCCCCGGCCCTCCTGGAATAGCAGCTTGGGAAGCTGAGGGTGGGTCCCCTTTTGCCGCGATTCCAGCGAGCTCGGGGCTGGCTCCTTCTGCTCGGCTGGTGGTAGCCGTGATTCGGAGAGGGAGGCAAGCGGGTGGCAGGTGTCCTGGCCTTGGCAGCGGGGGTCCCCACCGGCCCGGCCCACCCCCCCCCACGGCCGGTTCTCAGCGCCGTTATCTCTCCCCGGGTGTCTCCACGCTCTCGCACTCATTGATAAAAATTTGATTCTGCCTCCATGGCCTTATAAGGCCTGGTTTCCCTCGCCAGAGTCCCTGGCAGGGCCCCTCACATTCCTTATAAGCTGCAGCTGTCTCTTGCTTTGGTGCTGTTTTGGAAGGGGGCAGGGAGGACATGGGGAATGGAAACATTTGGCTGGATGGGCCTTTTCTGCTCCCTGCCCGGTGTCCCTGCAGGCGCCGGCTCTTGCCTGCCCATGTTGCTCGTGGCTTCTCGCCCAGGGTGCTGCCGAGGGCCTGCCTGTGGGTGCGGAGTCAAGCAATGGCCCTTTTTCTGCCGGAAGGGCCCTGCCTCGTCCCCGCATCCCCTGGTGCCGTTGTGAGAAAGCTGGTCCCGACATCCCTGCCGCTTCCTTTGCAGGCTGATGGTCGGGTCCGCAGGTGCTTGGAGATGGGAGGCAGGGGGAATTTGTGGTGCAAGGCTGGGACGACGTGCTGAACTGGGGGTTGTGCCGCAGCTTCCCGGGCCGGCGTTGAGTGCTGTTGGGCGCTGCGAGTTGCTGCGGCTCTGCTGCACCCGCGCTCGTGGCGTGGGTGCTGGGCTTGCTGCAAAAGCATCCTTCCAGGCGAACGGTGGCCTTGTGCTAGGAGCCCTCCAGCCGACTGTACGCAAGCCGCAGCAGCATCCTTGCCGTACGGTAGCCGCTAAATTTCAGCAGACAGAACCTGGAGAAGGGTGTTTGAGGGCTCTGCAGTAATCCCAGAGGCAGGGAGCATGGTCCCGAGATGTGCCCAGCGGCCACGATTCCTCCCTGCCCTCTTCCCCCACGTGTGTGCAGTGCTGCACCGAGCAAAAGCTTACCGCTGCTGAGCCCTGAGAAATACCAGTGGTCCCAGAGATCCCTGCAGGCAGAGGAGCTGTGGTGGGCCGAGGTGTTGCTGGCTGGAGAGCGATGTGCTGGAGCTCAGCAGAGTCCCTGGGAAGGCTTCCCGCTGATGGGATCCCAACAACGGCCCGGGCTGTCCCAGTATGGCGTGACTCCCTTGGGTGCCTCTGATTCCTAGTGTGAGCTGTGCCAGCCCTTTCCCGTCGGCAAAGGAGCCTGTGGTCACCAGCAGATTCTCCCTTGCGCAGCCCGTGTTTGTAAGGACTTGTGGCTCTTGGGCTTCTCCTGGATGGAAAGGCAAGTCCTGTGGGCGTTTTATCATGAGACAAGTTACCTACGCCTGGAATAATTTGGAGGCGCGGGAAGCGCTGTGTGTGGCAGCTGGCTTGTCCCTGGCGTGAGGCTTGTCCGCATCGTGTCCCTTAAGATTTTTTTCCTGAAAATACTGCTAGGTGGCCCCAAGGGAAGCGTGCTCTTGGGGTGCGGTAGCTCTGCAGAGGGGATCTTCTTAACACAGCTTCTCTCTGCCCGCTTTCTGACGCAACCCTGCAAGCTCCATCCCAGTACTTATGAGTGGCAATGCTTAGCGTGGAGTGCCTTGTGGCCACAGCCAGCATTTGGCATGGGGCTGGAGGAGCCCTGCGGCCCCGTCTTCTGCTTGACATTCCGGTTAAACCCACCCGTGGCCTGCTGAGGGTTCTTGTCACGGCAAGCCCTGGGGCTGGGGACCATCCCCACCCTGAGCCTCCCTTTCTGCAGGGCTGGAAGCCTGGTTTGGTGCTCTTGGCAGAGGTCAGCCCCATTCAGATAGACCAAGAAGCCCTCTGAGGATGCATGGAGCCTGTGGGTGGGCCATGCTAGGTGGCTAGCATCCTTGCTGAGGGGTGGGTGGTACGCAGGGCTGGGTTACGGCTGCCTCGTTGCAGGAAATTAAGTGCCTGGACCGTCAGGTCCAGCCACATAGGATGCTCCGAGAGGGTCGAGCAGTTGCTCCCTGGCATTCCCACGAACTCTGCTTCCTGAACTTCTGTACAGACAAAACCTGCTTGTCTTCAGCTGCTGCAGCAGAGTGGGGAGCAACGCAGCCAGGCTGTTACCTGTGGTCGGCAGCCTGCTGGTGTTCCTTTGCACTACAGCCAGCAGCAGCTTTGGCATCCTCCCGCTGTGCCGAACCCAAACTCCGTGCCACGGAGCTGAGCTCGGGCTGCAGCTGGGACTGGGGGACACTGTACTTCCAAGACAGCACCTATATCCTCACCATGGTACTGTGATGTGCTGACCCGTCTGATTTTTTGCGGGCCCCAAATGACACAGTGCCCTCCTGTAATCTCCCGGGTGCGGTTTTGTGGGAGAGGGGATTTTGGAAGGAGCTCAGGGGCTCTAGATTGGGGCGAGAGCATGGGAGTAGCCCTGATCTGGTCATCTCTTTTTGGGGTAGGAGAAAGGTGGGATTCTATGCGCCATCCGGAGCGCAGAACAGGTGTTGGAGACCAGTTTGGGATTTCCCATGTACCTCCAAGGCCAGTTGTCCTGCAACATCCGCGTAATAACGCTGGCCGGGGGGGTCTGAGCTGTGCTGAACGGCATTGTCCCAGGCAGCTCCCAGAAGCTGTGGAGTTGGAATCGTTTCTGTCCCCAAGACCCTACTATGGTCCAAGATGGGCATCAACTGGCCTGGGCTGTGCCCCGTGGTCCGCTCACGCTGTCCAGCGTTTATCGCACGTGCCGCGGCGGCGTGGGTCTGTGTAGACATCTCCCACCGCTACCTCTCTGCTCCGTGTTGATTCCCCAGGCGCTGCTCCGCAAACTGAAGTTTGCGGTCAGCTGTGGTGGGGAATGGATGTGCAGCTGGATCAGGAAGGGAAGGGCCCTTCAGGGCTGCTGTGCTGGTTCAGGGCTTGTCCGTGGCCCCCCTTGGATCGTCTCTGCTGAAGGTGACCCGTAACTTGGCCCCTGTTGGAGGCTGGCCTTGTGCATGTAGTCTGGGCTTTGCAGGATGCTGGGGGGGACCCCAGGGGCTCTGAGGCATCCCAGACAGGCATGAGGAGAAGGCAGTGGGTGTCCAATGCCAAGGTCTCTCCCAGCTCTCTTTCTGTACTGGAAGCTATTGTTGCAGTCCAAGAGAAACGCGGCAAAGATGGGATGAATCCGAGTCTCACCTGTGGCGGAGATGGGGCGTGCGTGGTTGGAGCCTGCTGGCACGGCGTCCCTCCCAAACACCTCTGCTGTTCCCATCATACTGAGGGAATTGCCCTCGTGCTTCTAGGGAGTCCTGGGAATCTTCCTGAGCAGGGTGCTGTGAATTTTTGGGGATGCCTCCTCCAGCCCTGAGAGTACGGAGTGTAAGGGGGGGATGCCAAGTGCCCTGGCTGCTTGGGCGCTCTGTCTCAGGGGTGTACAGCTTTAGGGCTGCGCCTGGGGATGAGTGAGCCTGGCTTTTCCAGCTGGGAACAAGACCCACCCTGCTCCGCTATGGACTGGGGGGAGCTCTGCCCTGTCACCCACGCGGGGAGGGCACCCACAGCCTCGCATGTCCCATGTGGGATGGCAGGAGTTTGCGGTTGAGCTAATGGAAAGTGCCTCCGCTGGGATCCGCTCTGTTGTCACGTGCCTCTTCTAATTCGGACTTTGGGGACTGCGGTGCCAAGGCGGAGGGGTGTTGCTCTCCTCCCTCCCCAGGCCCTGAGGCACGGCTGAGTGCCCGGGATTGGCTCCCCCCTGTCCAAAATGGGCTGCCTTCCCTTTTTTAGCTGTTCGTTGAGCTGTGAATTCCTCGTTCCTGGCAGCTTGACAAGCTGGGAACAAGGCTTAGCACGTGGGAGAGCTGGGCCCCCCAGCCTGCAGTGGGAGGGGTGGGAGTGTGGCAGCCTTAACTCTTTCCAGGCGTACCGGCGGCTCTGGTGGGACACGGGGACAGCAGGTCCCCCGTGGCATGGTCTCCAGTGGAGCAGTGTATTTCCAGTCCGCTCTTGGTCAGCTGAGCAGGGCAGGAGAGAAGCCATGGAGACCCTGGGTATCCGTAAAGAGGATTTGGGAGAAGGAGGCGTGTTGGGTGAAGCGTGACTGCCAGGGGCAGCAGGGATCGTGCTGGGCTTGGTTGGGTCCGGCAGATCCAAGCCGTGTCCAGCCGCACGCCTCGTGGCTGCGGAAACTGGGGTGTTACGTGCCCGGCAGCCTGGCGTATGCGTTCCTCCCTTGTTCCCAGACCCAGGAGGCTAGCGTTGGCCAAGCGTAGGGCCATTTTCCTCCTGGAGCTCAGCTTCCCTGGCGATGCCATCCTCAGACGGACGTACAGCTCCGATGCTCCTTGCAGGACCGTGGTGCCTGCTGGCTGTAGCTGACACGCGGGGTCGCTCGGAAGCGTTTGCCTTGTGCCCGTCTCCTGCTGGTGGACTGCCGAATGGGTGCTTCCCTTGGCCAGGTTCTCCCTTTTGCTCCAGGAGATCTGCGGAGGCATTCCCCGGGGCCTGCCAAAAAGCAGCTGTCAGGGCAGGGTTTGGTGTCCGGGTTTGGCCATACTCACCTCTCCCTTGCTGCTTTCGGTGTACAGCTGCCTTTAAGAGCCAGTTCTCGGCTTGTTCTTGGCCATGTGTTTCCTGCCATAAGGGAAGTGGTGCGTGTTCCTGACAGGAGACGGTGTGTTTGCCTTTATGTCTGTCCCTGCAAGGACTGCTTTTGCCTGTTGTGTGCCAAAAAGAGGCTGTTCTCTTCTTGGAGGCTACGGGGACTCCTGGGGAGGGGAAGGGTTGCTTCGTCCCCTGGCGTCTTGCAGGGAAGCCTCTGGGGGACCTGTATGGCCCTGGGCTTGTATCCAAGGTTTACGCTGAGCCCTCTCCAGCTCTCGTCACGCTGCGTTATTGGGCACAGTCTCTTCGTGTTTGTAAAAGCAGCTCCTCTCTGCTACCCTGGCTCTGCTCCGTGTGCTGGCAGCAGGCTACGAGGGTATGGTTTAGCGCGGGGATGCAACCTGCGGAGCCCGCTTCGGCCTCGTGGGCAGACGTTGAGCAGATCCAAGGGCTGGTCTGAGTTGTCACACTCTCTCCTTCCCCAGGACGCCCTGAAACCAGCGTTCACGGTCACCAACCTGCCGGGGACGACGTCTACCATCCAGACAGCCCCCACCACCTCGACCTCCATGCAGGTCAGCAGCGGCCCGTCATTCCCCATCACGAATTACCTGGCGCCAGTGTCTGCCAGCATCAGCCCCAATGCCGTCACCAGTGCCAACGGGACAGTGCTGAAGACTACTGGAGCCAGTGCAGTGACATCTGGGGGCCTCATGCCGATACCCACTGGCTTCACCCTCATGTCAGGTCAGTGCCTTTCGGAACCGAGGACTGCATCCATCCGTCTCCGCACCTGGAGCGTGTTGCTGCCCTCTCCAGAGGAGAGGAGACCTAGTGGCAGGAGGTAGCAGAGTGGTTGCTGCTGTAGGGTCAACCTGGCTGGGATTCCTTGCTCAAGCCCAGCCGGGCCGGTGGCTGGAGAAGGGCGATGTAGTGGCTGTTTCCTTAGAGTGCTGCTAGCTGGCCCTGCTGCTGGGAAAGTCGTGGTGGCAGGGAGCTGAGCTGGGACCCCAGGGCAGCACCAAGAAGCCTGGAGGGAGTGAAAAGAGCTGGTGGTGACAAAGCCTTTCTTTCTCCCTCCTTTCGGCAGGTGCTTCCCTTTCTCCGGGGACCCCTACCATTCCTCTCGCTCAGTTACAGCCGCACTCCCTGGCTTTTTCCAGCCAGCAGGGCCAGGTGCTCACGGGTACGGCTGGACAGCTGCAGCAGGCACAACAGACAGTCTTCCGCTTCCCTGCCAGAGCTGGAGGGCAGATTGTGTCGCTGACAGGTCAGCACTCGCTTCTCCTCCGCTTGCTTGAGGTGGGGGGATGGAGGCATCTGTGGGGGTCCCCTGGTCCTGGTCCTGGCCAGAGAGCTGACCCCCAACGGAGGTGGGAGCACAGAGGAGGCAGAGCACAGGCCAACCCTGGCTGCGGCTGCAGGGGAGAGATGGGGAGACAGGGCAGGGAACGCTTGGCGTAGGCGGGAGCAGCATCCTGGGGGATACAGACTGAGGGAAGCAGCGGGTTGTCAGTCTCCTGCCCCGGGGTTTGCCCTGTGGCTAGCAAACGTAGGGGAGACGGGTCCCCAGTGGTGCTGTGCTGCTAGGAGGACTGATGGAAGGAGACCGCAGGGGCTCAGATGCCCGGCGGATGTTTTCTGAGTGCTGGCGTTTGGCTCTGAGCAGCTGCCCCTGCTTTTGTATTTGGATCTGCAGTCAGTCGCTGAGCCACAGCGCAGAGGATAGATGAGGAGAGACCCAGAGCAGAGGAGGGAGCAGTGCTGCTCTGCCGCTTTGTGTGCGTTGTCCTTTGCAGGAGGTTTCTTGTCGCGCCGAGTCGAGGCTCTGCAAGTGTTGTACTGGGGCTGGACGTGCTCCTGGCTGGAGTTTCAGAGCAGGGCTAGGCTGTCCTTTGAGGGGGCAGCCGTCGTCTGAGGACCAGCGCTGAGAGTGAGGCGGCATTTCTTGTGTCCTGCCTGTTTGCGCACAAGCTGATGGGTCTGATAGCCTGCGTGCTTTCTTGGAGCCCTTCTGGCTTCCGTGGGCCCTGGCAGACGGTGTGATCCCATGCAAGGGGACTGGCTTTCCCTCGTGGTCTGGAGGAGCTAAGAGAATAATGGATGCGTGTCTCTGTGGTGTGGTGCGTGGGGAGATGCCCGGTCTGAGTGAGGTGGCTGGTGATTCCTGCTTTCTGGCATCCCTTGCTCTTCCCTCTGGAGACAGGACCTGAGCCTGAGGGCAGCTTTCTGTGCTGAGCAACGTCTCTGGAGCCAAAGAGCTTTGCAACAAGTGGGCTGGGCTGGAGGCTGTGTGGCCATGCCTCCGCAGGTCTGGGACGCACACCTTGTGGTCTCTAATCCCTTGATTGATGTCTTGGAGACCACAAGCTGGCTGAGATAGCTGTTCCCCGAGTGCCCAGTGGAGGATGGAGCCGGGCTGCAGAGCGTGAAGGCAGCGGAGCTCAGCTAGCCTGGGCATTTGGGCTCTCCCAGTTCTGCTCGGTGCAGTGAGATGATCCTTGCAGGGTTGGCTGAGGATGGGCAGTGCTGGGGGCATGTGCTGGCCCCTTTTCTACCAGCATCATCGGTGCTGTGTCTTAGTGGAGCCAGGAATGGTGAGGAGGACCCCAGGCATTCCTGAACCATGCCTGGGACCTGGAGACAAGCTGCTGTAGCCTTTCCTTTTCTCTCTGGAGCCCTGTAGGCCAGCTAACCCCTCCTTGGTCCCTGCGTGCCAGGAGAGAGCAGGTTTTGGCCTGCTCTTTGGGGCAGGTCCTGGTTTCTGCCACGTGCTGCTTTTTGGCTAGCCTTCCCCGGTGCAGTGCAGAGCCACGCTGCAGAGCTGTACGCTGCCGGAGAAGGACTTGGGGGGGTGACGGGGGGCTTTCACATGGCCCAGAGTGCCTGTATCCCTGCTGAGCCAACAGGCTGATGGGCTCCTCTTTTTCCCCAGGTGGTACCATGGCTCAGCAGGTCCCAGTCCAGGCGATCCAGGTGCACCAGGCACCGCAGCAAACGTCTCCCTCCAGTGACAGCAGCACTGACCTTACCCAGACCTCTTCCAGTGGAACAGGTAATTGGGACATTACAGTAACCGCTGTCTTCCTTCCTAACCGCTGCTGATAACAGCCCACACAAATAGACCTCACACCCGCTCCCTGCCCAGGATCCTTCTTCAGACCAACTCTGTCCCAGCCTTTCTGGCAGTTTCCCAGGTGTATTTATACCTGTTGCCAGTCCACACCGTGCTATGCTATGTCTAGGTAGATGCTGCTGTGCATAGGGCACCTTACAAGGCATTTCAGAGCCTCTCTAGGTACATCATCCGCTCTTACTTGCGGCATGGAGCTGGGAACAGCTTGCCCGGTTCTCAGATAGTTTCTTAGTGAGCCAGCGTTGCCCCTAGAGATTTTTACTCTCTGTGTAGAGGACACCTCTGTTGTCAGCAAAATCTGAGTTCAGGTGCCTGGATGGAGTCTGAATCCAGTTCAGCAGCTTTGTTAAAGCTTCACTGGGAAATTTGTACCTCAAGTTGAATTCAGTCCTGGGATATTTGGCTGCCACGCTCTTCTGCCTTCTCATACTCGTGAAAGGAGAGGTTTGAGCTCTCCTGCCTGTTCTTCCAAGAGCTTGGGAGAACAAGATGGGTATCCAAGAGCTTGGGAGAACAAGATGGGTATCCAAGAGCTTGGGAGAAGATGATGGGTATCTCCACGCACCTGCTGCTTCAGGACCGCATGCCAAGGGTGGCTGAGGGAGGGGTGCTGAGCGGGCTTGTGAGCGTAGCAGACCCCTTTCGCGTGGCTCACGTGCAGTCTGTCCTGGTGCCAGTGACCCTCCCGGCAACCATCATGACGTCGTCTGTGCCAACCACTGTGGGTGGCCACATGATGTACCCCAGCCCACATGCGGTGATGTACGCACCCACATCTGGCCTTGCGGACGGTGGACTTGCGGTCCTCAACGCTTTCTCACAGGCGCCCTCAGCGATGCAGGTGTCCCACGGCCAGGTCCAGGATCAGGGTAAGACAGCCGTCTGGGTCAGTGCTCCCTTAAGTGCTCTGACACCCTGATTTTTCTCATCTCGCATGTATTTGTGCTGTGTATTAATTTCATAGAATTTTCTTCTAAGCAGTCGTAGCGGCTGTACGAAAGCCCGGCAAGGGTGATGATTGGTGCGCGCTTTTAGATCCCACCATTCTCCTATGCATAGGATTGCTTGAGCCGTTTGCTGGGGAAAAAGGGCGAGAGTTGCTGGGATGGGTGGCTTATGGGGCAGGCAGCAGTGGAGGAAGCTAGGAGATTCTGAAGAGGGTGTGTGGTTGCATGAAGGGGGCAACGCAGCATGAAGCCGTGCAGGCAAGACTTGGATTGAGGGCTTGCGCCTGCCTCTCCCAGTGTTTGGAAAACTAGTGCATTTGGCTTGCTTCTGGGATGCCTCCATGCATGCAAACAGGCACCTTCATCCTTGCGAAGCTCCGTGGAGCTCGGAGGAAGGACCCAGGGGGGAGCACCGTTTAAGGGACGGTGTCATTTGTGCTTTCTCTCTCTCTCTGTGGCAGGTGGTGTCCCCCAAGTGTTCCTGACAGCCCCATCAGGCACCGTTCAGATCCCAGTCTCGGCTGTCCAGCTTCACCAGGTAGGCGCAGAACGGTACTTGTGGGTGTTCGGGGGGGGTGTCCTCGCTCTGCCCCTGCTCGCGCATCCTTTGCGGGTCTGGAGTCTGAATAAACATGTCTCATCCATTCTCGGGTAGGGGTGGTCCTCGGGTCTGGGAGAGCTGTCAGTGCCATCCACCCTTGGGTGAGGAAGCCTTGCCCTCCTTGGACAGGCACCCAGCAAGGACGGTGCCACCCTGGCTGCTGGCACGCACGGTCTCGGGGCACGCTGTCCCGTCCCCCCAGTGCTTCCTCCTGCCTTTTCTCTCTAGATGGCTGTCATCGGGCAGCAGAGCAGCAGTGGCAGCAGCCTGACGGAGCTGCAGGTGGTCAACTTGGACACCTCGCACAGCGCCAAGAGTGACTGAGAGGCCTCTGCTGCTGGCCTTGCGCTGTCCCCGGCTTGCCACGCCGGTGCCGGGGCTGGCGGCAATTCCTTCTCGTACAGACTGCACCAGTTATTTATTGTTGCCTTTTCACGTTTCCTTCATCCACACATGCACACACACACACACACACGCACCCACCCACCCACTCACACAGGCATGCACGTGGGGCTGCAGGACCCACCCGGGGTGGAGCGGTGCTGGGGCCGTGCAGGGCTTGGGGGGCGTTTGGATGCTGCGATTAGCTGTGCTTGTCTCACGCCAGCCAAAGAAACTTGTCTCTTTGAGGGGAAGATTGTTCTGCGCTGTAAATAAATACTGCGGGCCGTTCCCAGCGGGAGGCTCTGGCTCCTTCTGGGCGCTCTGAGTCACCTTGCCCATGAGTTTTTCGCTCTGCGTGGGGCTCAGCTCGGACCCAGAGCCGTCCCGCCGGCGCAGCTCGGAGCGGAGCGGGCCGAGGCTGTGCCGCTTGGCCTCAGCAATGTGCCTTTGTCGGGGTGACAGATCCTGGCTGCAGCAACTCACCCTGGGCTCCGGACAGGGGAGAGCCGGCCGGCTTTGTACGTGCATCTCCAGTTGGGTCTGCGCGCCCTTCCCTCCGTGGCACGTCGCCCTGTCCTCCTCGTATGCACTACAGCGAGCCTTCTGCCCTCAGTGCCAGGATCTCCAGGAGCACAACGATGCCCCGGAGAGCTCGTGGTGGTGGTGGTGGTGGTGGTGGTGGTCTCTGTGGCCGCCCCAGCCCCACGCTCTCCTCTCAGCCCTCGCACTGCTTGCGGACTCCGTACACCCAGGGGAACGTGGCCGGGTCTTTCCCACATCCCCCTGCAGCTCCGGCCAGTGCTTTTTTTTTGTGTTTTTTTTTTTTTTTAAATTTCTGTGTCTGATGCAAGGTGGAGAAACAACTCAAGTGTCAAAGGGAAGAGCCCACAGGGCGCTGAGCTGCCGGGCAGGTGGCAGGTTCTTTTTCTGAGCACCACCAGGGTGATCTGCAGGCCATCCTGGGCTGTGGAGGAGCTGCTGTGATGCCTGTGCAAGCTCAGCAAGGCCAGGGGAGAAGGGCTGGAGCGTGCTTGGTCCTGCATGGGAGTTGCTGTGAATGGCTCTGCTACCTAGCCCTGTCCCTGGAGGGAGAGTGAGCGAGAGAAGCTGCTGAATCCTTAGAGGAAGAAGCAGCTACTGTAACTTTTTTTTTTTTTTTAATTTTTAAGTTAAAGACAAAAGAAGCCTTGGAGAAAAAAGAAAAAAAAAATTAAAAAAAAAAGAAAATGACTTTATTTTTCTAAGTGTTAAACTCAGTATTTATGTAATTCTTTAAGGAATAAAAGTTTGGCTCCTGTACAGTTTTCATGGGGTTTGTACCAGGGGGATGGGAGAGGGGTGGGTGGGCATGGAGGCAGGAAAGGGGCCTTGCTTTTGAGTTTGTATTGTAACCTTGGACATGTTCCCTCAGCATTAGCGTTTAAGCTGTGCTCTCCACCCACCAGCATGTGCCAGGGATCAAGCTGAACCGAGTGGGATGCTTGTTTCCCCGCTTACCTGTACTGAGGACTCCATACCCGTCATTTTGGGCTTAACGGGCAGAAGGCAAGTGAAGCGGTGGCTGGTCTCTAGAAGTGAGAAACCCATCCCTCAGGAGCAAGGGGCTGGCAGCGTGCCTGGGGGCCAGAGATGGGCTGGGTTTTCTGACGGCCGCCCGGTTCGCCTCTGGTCCTGGGACCTGCGGCCGTTCTTGGTGTGGAGCGGTGCTACCTGTGACTGCCGAAGGGATACGGGCATCCCCTACTCCTCCTCGGGTGGTGAGGGGCCAGCAGTGGCTTTATCCCTGCTCACTGTACGGGTAGCACCTCCTGAACTTCTAGCTGATGATCTCTGGGCTGTCGTTCCCCCTCTACAGCCATTCCTTAGCGCACGGATGCGGACAGGTCCCCTCCAAGCCCCCCTTGCCCTGTGCAAAGTGCTCCCAGAGCGGCGTTTCAGCCCTCTGTCTGAAGCCTGGGAAGGGCTTGGGGGGGAGCGGGGTGGGTTATCTGGTGAGAGAGATTACGAGCTGCCTCCCCTTAGTATCCTTGCTCTAAGAGCGATGCGTATCCCGCGGCTCGGAGCGCGTGGGAGTGCTGTGCCATGCCCCTTTGCTAGGTGTACGAAGGCTGCTCGGTGACGCTTCCGAAACAAGGCTGGGTACCTAGGAGTTCATCCAGGGAGAAGGACGGGGTTGGGTTGCGTTGTCCCTCGCCCCAGCGCATCGCTGTGGCCCGGCTTTGCTCCGCTTTGCTTGTGCTGGCACTGCGGAGCAGAGCTGTTGGGCTGGGGTGGCAGGAATGCCCCTGCTGCTACAGGGGCTCTGATCGCGTCCCCTCCCTGGCTCCCCAAAGGCAACTGCTGGTTAAACGCTAATGGTGTATTTTATTTAAGTGCAGACTTGTAAGAAGACTTGTGTATCAGGGATGAATTGGCATTTATTGTGTGGTGACATTTTTAGTTCATTTTACCGGTTTGAGGGTTGTGTGTGTGTGCGTGTGCGTGTGTGCGCGTGTGTACGCATAAGTGTGTGTGGGATTTTTATTTTTTTTTCCCCCTCCCCCTCCAGTTTCCAGGGTTGTGTTTCTGGAAGGATGTGGAAGTAATCACAGTACTATGTACAGAGCTTTCTTTTGTATTAAAAAAAATTACTCTTTCAATAAATGTTATCATTTTGTGCACAGATTTGGGATCTTGGCCATGCTTTGCGGGAGGGGAAGACACACGCCTTAGGGCCAATGAATGGGGATCGGAGGCAGATTCCCGCACCGGTTTGTGTACTGCGGAGGGTAGGGGGGCTGTCTGGGCATGATGTGGCAAAAAGGGGCTCTTTGCAAAAATCTCGATCCCTGCTGCCTCCTGGGCAGGTGAGACCTGACCGGCTGGGCTTCTACTCCGGGAGTCCCAGAGCCAGAGCGGGCCTGGGGAGGACTGCAGGTCTGCGAAGGCTGTTCTTTCCAAAAAGTTGGGAGCGGTGCTGGTGAGCAGGGCATGGTGTCAAGAGAAATAAAAACCAGGAACGGGGGCTTTTGAAGAAGAAAAGAATTGGTCTACTTCCTGGGTGTTAACAGGGAGGAGCAGGAGCACCTCAAGGAAGAGTTAAAAGAGGGAGGACAAAAAGCCCATGTCGCTTATGGAGTAGTTAAGCGATACCTAAGCCCTAGAAGAGGAATTTTTGCCATTGTAACAGCAAAGAAAAGATGATCCCTAGGCCTGGCCCCAGGTGGATTATCTATTGATAAACTACCACAAACCAAAGGAGGAGAGAGATATTTTTTTGGTAGTGACAGAGGTATTTCCAGGATAGAGAAAAATTTTATATGAAGGTGCTGCTGTTAAGGTAGTGTTAACCTGATACAGAACTCGACAGGTAAGTGATGCTGGCCAAGTTCTTGTCATCACAGGAGATGTCATGCAGCTGGCATCTCGGAGCATCCAGACGTGGTGGCTGGGGTGTGCAGGACCATCCCCTGGCCTCTGGACAAGGAGAAAGAATAAACCAGGCTTTAAAATAAACCAGTTGAAAGGCGGCAGGCAGAACAGCTCTCTCTGACATTGCCAGGCATCTGATCCAAGTCTCAAATGAAAATGAGATTGTTTCCCCTTCCCTCTTCCAAGTCCATTACTTTTGGACACCTGATGTCTTTAAGGATGGAGCTTAACTGTTGTCTTTATGAGGCCCAACACCAAGACTGTTAAATTCCCTGCAGACAACTGCTATGAGAAGATACGGCAATATTCGAAGTCCAAACTGGAGAGACGTTACTTAAAGTCAGGTCAAAGGTCTGTAGGCCCCTGAAAGCCAGGTCAAGGGCACATGAGGGCTCACTAAAGTGCCTAAAGGTAGGAAAGAAACCAAAGGGAGACAGGCTCGTTAGTCATCAGTGCTGCTGAGTCAGCAGTATGCCAGCTAAAAATCCAACTCCTAGCCTCTACATAGCATCAGGTCCTGGAGCAGATAGGTACCAGTGTAATGTAAGGAAAGCTTAGCACTGATAAAAGTCGGTGCGGTGGAAGGGCTGCACTATTCCTCACGGTGCGATTTGGAGAAGATAGATCTCAGTGTAGCCAGAGAGGAAAAGATTGTACAGAAAGTGCTTAGGAGCAAAACAGCTGAAATGGCTCGTGTCCCCATCGGGAAGGGAGGTGCTTCACTTTTACAGATTACACCACAGCCAGCCGCACGTTCGGCGTGCCTACACAGATAGGTCTCATGGTTCAGCACCACAAAACCCTCTCAGGACAAGTAATCCCATGTTACTTGTGCACAGGCGTCTGTGTATGACATACAAAACTCCTAACATGGAGCAAGATACTGCACACATAATCTTTATTTTTAGGATAAATGTCTAAGAATGGCATCAAGACTGTCAGAGCCAAGACATAAACAGGGCATATGAATACCACAGAAAACCTTTCAGTGTCACAAACAAGATGCCTGTGTCCTATCCGGTCGTTTCCATTTATTGTTGGTGACAGTTTTGGCTATGGGATGTTGCCAGCTGACGTTAGCAGCCAGGCTGCATTTCCCACTGCAGAGCATTATCACCACCTCATGTTTGTGACAATAAACACAGGAGCGTTGCAGGTGCAGTACATGCACAAAATAACAGCTGCCAAGAGCAGAGGAAAATAGCAATGGTTGTGCATGTGGTGTCAGCTTTTATGTAGTCGTGTGGCATTTAGGAAGTTATTTTCCCCTTCATTAGTGCAAAAGTACTGCATTTATCTCTACAGGAGGTGAAGGGCCTTGTAAAGGCAAAGCATGATATAACTAAATACCAGTTCGATCCTCTGAATTTTAACAATGCCTTGGGAGTTAACGGGGAAGGAAAATGACATGTTAATGGAACACACAGAGATTTCAAGAGCAGCCACGGGATTCTGGAAAGAGAGCATCAACAGCATCAGCAGAGGTTACATGAACTGATGGGAGAAATCAAGAGGCTGTCTTGGAAACACAAATATTTACAGTCCACTATTGGTGCCACAGCTTTAGGGGATGGTCTGCACAGACTGATGCAGCACTGCCCTGATTTATCCAGTCTATTGTTAATTGCAATTATATTGTTTGTATAAATTGCTGATTGCTATTGCAAAACATCGAATTGTCTAATTGGTTGCATTGGTACCGAGGGTAGAAATGAGGTTGGGCACATACATGAAGCTGCTCCAGGACCAAGTTAAGAAAGCAGACTCTTGTCCATTTAGCCTTTGATTTTAACGTTTGTAATTTAAGACAAATGTCAACAGACCAACAGAAACCTGCACCTACTAGATTGTAGCTAACTGCTTTGAGGCCTCTTGAGGAAGGGAAATATGGGCAAAGGACAAAAATTTAGCTTTTGTGGTGTGGGCATTACAGATCAGCATAACACCAAAGCGGGAAAGGAACTGGGAACACGCCAAACTCGGGTGCAACTGGCTTCAATTGCCTCTCTAGCAACACTGCGAACAGGGCAGCTTTACAACCCAAAAACCTGCCGAGAGCGAGCGCAGCTCTCACTGAAGTCACCCGAACAAGGCAGACGGAAGGTGGGGTGCGAGCCTGAAATCACCCCAAAACCCCGGACCTGAAAAAAGTCGCTGCGGTCATTTTTGGTGAACACCGCGTTTGCAATAACGTTAATGCTGACATGACGGGCTTTTAGCCTTCCTTTCGCCTACCCCAGTCTTTAGCAGAGTTAATTAATCACCAGGGGAAACCACACCACACAACCATCGGCAGCTCCCGCCTTCAGCTCCCAACCTCAATTATCTTCTCCTTTCTAGTAAGGCCGAGGGGGATCAGAAGGTATTTTTTCTCCTTTTTCTGCCCCTCGCTCCCATCCCCGGTGTTCAGGCCCCACGGGTGGGGACGGACACGCAAGCCCTGTCACACACGCCTGGCCTGCGCTACCACAAACAGGCCGCAACCCCCCTCAACGCTGCCGGGAGCCAACCCCAGGCCGCAGGACCGACTCTTGTCGGTACCGGCAGCTGCGACCCGCGGCCCGGCCTGGTCCCACCCGGTGACACCGATCGAAACGCTCGGGCCCGCGGAAGGGACCGGAGCCGTGGGCCAGTAACGGCGGGAGGGCGCATGCGCGGAGAGCGCCGGCGCGCAGCCCGCCCCTCCCGCGAGGTCTTCTAGCCCTCGCCGCCACCCGTAGTGGGCGTGGTTTGCGTGCCCGTGCGTGCCCGGGATGCGGAAGTGAGGAGCTGTAGCGGCGGCGGTGGCGGCAGGTGCGGGTGGCGGTGCTGATTCTCGTCCTTTCCCGGTGGTCGTAGGGGTCGGGGTGTGAGGGGGAGCCTCCTTTTACCCCGTCTCGGTGGAGATCTGGGGGGGTGAGCCGCCCCACACTGCGCACCGGGGCCGGGCCCCGTTGTCCCGTGCCCCGCTGCGGGCCGAGCTGTGGCTGCTGGGGCAGGGGTGAGCCGAGAGCCGCGGGGCAGAAGCAGGGCTCGCTGAGGCGTCTGAAGCGGCCTGGAAGAAAAACCGTCGTCTTTTCCGCGGCGGCCATTGCCGAGGATAAACCGTTTTTATCCGCCTCACTTGTTTCGCTGTGTAGGCAGGCCACCGGCCTTGCTGTCCCGGGGCTGGGGTGGGACAGGATGGACTGGGGTGAGATGGAATGGGGTGGGATGCTCTGCTCCGCCTGCCTGTGTGGAGGGTTGCGCTTCTGAACCAGGTGCTGTGCTGCCTTATGGACTCAGGATCGGAGGTGGCGTGTTCATTTGTCATAACTCTGAAAGTTGCCATAGACTGTGTATTTAAGCAGTCTAACAATTTAGCTGTGGGTTGTCGTAGGCTCAGTGTGCCTCGTTCGTCACACACGTTGCAGCTGCTTCTTCAGATGCCCTAAATCCAAATTCTACCCCACCTAGCTACAAATCCTTTTGGGTCCCTTCTGATAGCTCAGCTCTAAAGAGTTTTTTTTATGCTAAATGCCACATTGTGGGGACAGGGTGAAGTTATCAAACAAAACAACGCTTCACAGAGACTTCTGTTTTCCTATGATTTTTATTTTATGTGAGCCTCTTGGGGGAGGTTTTTTTTGTGTGCTGTACAAGCACAGTTAGGGAAAACAATTGTTTGGCTTATGGTGTGGCCTCTAAAGACTGTTATAAAGCACGGGAGAGTAACTTGGTCCTTTTATTACAGAGAGACTGCAGGAAGATTCCCAGCTGGCTTGCCTGCAAAGTCCAAGGAAGGCACAATTGAAGGTAGGTACGAATTTCTCAGGAGTTCAGGCTTCTCTCTGCACCTGGGAAGCATCTTTAATGTGCCTATCATGGTCTTTGATGGTCAGTATAGTCTTTGGTTGTACATGGATTGACTATTTGCTATGTATGTTAGCTTCTTTTTTAAGAATGACTCGTGTTGCCATCAGCTGAACAGCATGTTGCTTCACTGATTCTCTTGCTAGGATGTGTAAGTGACAAGAGGGCCTGTTCATGTGTTTCCACTACCACCTGCTGGAGCACCTCTGAGAACCATCTTATCAGACTCTGATCTGGCATCCTTTGTAGTAGTGAAGTCCGGCCGTTGTGTGTGGTACTGTCTACAGTTGGCCAGCTCATTGCAGGCACTCAGTCTTAGACTGCAAATTATTTCGTGCTCTTCTCTGCATAGATGAAAGCAGAGAAGTGTCATGGTTGCTTCTTTGTAGTCCTAAGATACACAGAACAATCAGGCAGCAGAGAGCAGCAATCTTTGCCTTTTGTTGAATTTGCCCATTGACTAAACTGTAAAGCGAAGCATATCTGAGACGAGGCCGAGGAGGAAATACTGAGTGGCTTTTAGACAGTGACCTGTTTTGATGTATAAGAACTTGATCTGAGAAAACATTGGTGATTTTCTTCAGAGCCTGGTGACTCAAGTTAGGTCCAGCTCCACAGTGAGAGAGCCTTGAGCTCTAGGTCAAAAGCAGCAACTTGCGCAGGGTTGTGTCACAACACGACAGTTGTTGGACAACTGTGGACAGTGGCAGGGATGAGAACAAGACCCAGGTCTCCTGTCATTATTTGATGTCTTATAAGAGGATTTGAATGGGCCCGTTTTGCCTTGGGATTTTTGAGAAAACTTCCTTCTGTGTGTGCCGGTAATGCTGGGAACAGGGTTTGTATATGAAACAATGGCTCATTTTCTTGGAGGGGGGATGTGAGCTTCTGCAAAATGGGGTTTTCTTCAGAGCTTTATCCTGGGTGCAGTATCACAAGATCAAAAGCTGTGCCTCAGCCACTTCTACTGTCAAGCAACTGAGGTGCTTGCTCACGCTTTTCCTGGCACGCAGCTCAGAAATAAAAGCGTGCCTCTGCTTCCCCTCTGTCTCTGCAGGCACGTTTCCTGCCATGGTGAATGAGAGGCATAATGGCAACCTGCTTGTGCACCTGGGAGCCAAACTGCAGGCCTACCCGGAGGAGCTGCTCCGGCAGCGGCGAGGCTACGATGGCCAGCCCGAGTACCTGATCCAGTGGAGCATCATCAGCTTGGAAGAGAGAGCAGTGGAAGGCAGCAGTGCCTCCTCCGCAGAGACCAAGCCGGAGAACATCTCGATGTGGATGTCTGCAGAAGAGGTCTGTGCCAGCTGCCCGGCGCTGCTGGGCAAGAGGAAGCTGGAAGGGCAGTGGGTGAAAGAGGAGAAGGCAGCCAGCCCGTTCGCTGCAGATGTCCCGCTGGATGAAGCCTCGCTGCTGGAGATGAAGGCTGATGTCAGGAGCCTGACGCAGCGAGCTGGCCGGCAGATGGCCGAGACTGAGGCCCCGGAGTCCTCCATCCTCAACACCATCCACGTGCTGAGCGCGTACGCCAGCATTGGCTCGCTGGCGGGCGCCTTCAAGGAGACGGGAGCCCTCGACTTGCTGATGAAGATGCTGTGCCACAAGGAGAAGGAACTCCGCCGCAGTGCCGCCAAGATGCTGAGGGCCCTCGCTTCGCACGATGCAGGTGGGGGCTGCTGCTGCTGCTGCTCAGTGCAGCTGAGGAGGTGCTGCTGGGCAGCTGAGGGGTGCCAGTCCTTTTGTAGGCGTGGGATGCCTGGGAAGCAGTGTGTCTCAGGGCTTTTTGGCAAAAGGGGAAGGATCAGACTGGAGCTTCCAAGGGGCGCCTCGGTTGTAGTTGTCTGGGGTGCTTTAAGACCTAGGAACTCTTTCCCTTGACAGCTTCCTGAGCTGGGATGCTGATTAACTGTTAGGAGGACTTATGCCAAGGGGCTTGGCAGAGTGTCGGGGTGTCTCTGCTGCATGCTTTCAATCGGAAAGGCTCTGGCCTGTTTTTGGCAGGGAGCCTTTCCTTAGGCCCTGGTGGGTAGAGGCTGGTCCTTTCCCAGTCCTCTCATTTGAGAGGAGCTGCCGTGGCTCGGAAGTGACTGATGAGGCTTGAGTGCGCCTGGAAGGTTGCTAGTGGTGGTGTGTCGCACAAGAGATCTGGCTTTCCCTGTCCTAGTGCCCGAGCTCACGTGGCTCTCCAGTGGGGCAGATGCGGGGCTGATTCAGGTTAAAACTTAACTTCTTTCTCCCCTGGAACCCTGTTCTGGAGTCATTTATTTGGGGCTGCTGCTCTGGGGGAATCTCACAGCTTTAGGGGTGGAAAAAATACGGTGTCATTCAGTGGAGCAAAATGTTGCCAACCCAGATTAAAGGACGGAATGTGGTTCTGGGTGACAGTGAGCAGCAGAGCTGTTCCTTGCCTGCACGTCTGTATTGTGCAGGCAGGGTGGGGTGAGGGTTATCTTTGTGGGGCCTGAAGAGTTTCTGTTGTTGTTGCAGGGAGCCGGGCCTATGTCCTGCTGTCGCTGAGCCAGCAGGATGGCATTGAGCAGCACATGGACTTTGACAGTCGCTACACCTTGCTGGAGCTGTTTGCTGAGATGATGTCTTCTGAAGAGCACTGCATGTCCTTTGAGGGGATTCACCTTCCCCAGGTAGCGGCAGGTCCTGCCAGCCCTGGGCCTGTGGGTTTTAGGGGTCAGGAGGGCTGAGAGTGAGGGGGCCAGAGCTGGTGTTGTGGTTTAGGACAGGAAGGTAGTCGGTAGTGGGCGGCTGAGCAGGACTGGGCGTGGGGAGAGCTGGCACAGGATCTGGGCCTGGCTTGAGGCTGGGGAGTGGTGGAGGGGCACATGGAGAGCCTTGTCTCTGAGCAGGGAGATGAGGGTGGGCTGAGAGGTCTCTGCTCCTGCCTGCTGGTCTGGAGCTATCGTGGGAGCCTGACTGTGGATGAGCTGGTGGCTCCAAGAGGGCCGGGGGCTGGAGGGGCTCTGCAGGCTCGATTCTGACAGCCGTGCTTGTTGCAGATCCCCGGGAAGCTGCTGTTCGTTCTGGTGAAGCGCTACCTGTGTGTCACTTCTCTGATGGACAAGCTCAGCAGTGGCGTGGAGCAGGGAGGGGAGCAGCAGGACTGCGTTGTGCGGAGCCCGCTCGCTGAGGAGAGGAGCCGTGTGAAGCAGGAGTTTGAGTTCAGCATGGCTATGGCAAACCTCATCTTGGAGCTGGTGCACGTGATGGGCTGGGACCACGGCCACAAGCCAGAGCCGCTGCCCCAACAGGAGCTGCGGCCTCGCACCACCCACTCCATCTTCCACCCCAAGACCCCAGCCCGCACTGCTGCCCAAATGCCTGTGCTCACTTCAAATCGTGATCCCCACAAAAAGCAGGGTCGTGCCTTCCTAACCCTGTCAGACTTCGCAGACCGCAGTGGCTATGTGGAGTACTTGCAGGCAAACCTGGTGCGCGGCATGAGGGTGCGCTTGCTGGAGGACTGTGGTGATGTTAGAGCTGGGGAGGAAGGCGAGTTTCTTCAGAGCACTAATAGCATGCACACAGTGCAGGTAGGTCACTAGTAGAAGTAGTCTGGCTGGGATGGCAGAGGGGAGTGACAGGGGTGACTGATGATTTCCTAATGATGTCTTCATGTGCAGGAAATTTGACAAGAGGCGTATCGTAATTAGGACACTGTCTACATCTGTCCTGGCAAAGAAGTCATCTTTCAGAGCTGGAAGTGTGGGTCCTGAGGAAAGCTAGTCTGATTTAGTATGGGTTGTCCTGCTAAGATTTCTTAGCCTTTAAAATGGGTGGCTCTATCCTGCCTCCCAGGAACAGTCCCTAGCCCTGGTTTGGTCTTGAGGGTGGTTTGGGAACAGGCTAGCTGGCGCAAATGAGTATCACAGCAAAAGATGCTTGAAGGTCTTAAGCCTTAGTATGTGAGTGACAGTACTTATGGCATACTGTTGTTCTCACTGGGTTGGACACAGCCTACATAGCTGTTTCTTTTGATCTGCGACTGTATGCCAGGATCTGTTTCCCTTTAAAAATGCCCTTTGGGTGAGCTGACCTTAAATGATAGGTAGGGCTGTCTATTACCTGGCCTAAGAAGTTATCCTTGATGCACTCCAGGAGTCTCCTGGACTGTCTGCAGCTCGCTGTGCTGCTTTTCCAGCAGATGTCAGGGTGATTGAAGTCCCCCAGGAGGATGAGAACCTGCGAACACAACCCCTCCTGTAGCTGGAGTAAGAAGGCTTTGTCATTAGGCTCCCCTTGATCGGGCAGCCTGTAAATGCTGACCACAAGGTTCCCTTTGTTGGCTTGATCTCTGATTCTTGGCCTAAGGCATTCAGCTCTTGCCACTCTCAGAACATCGTGCTAGTGTATGGGTCAGTGCTGGAGCAGCAGGGCTTGGACTCAAGCCTGGAGGTGGGAGAGCATTTGAGTGCTGTTCTGGCCTTTTTGTGGGCACAGGGAGGTGTTTGCTCCTGCTTAGACCTTTTTCTTGAGACTTTCTTCTCGGTCCTGAAGGCTGGGCACCTTCAGTGAGAGCTGAGACTTTGTTTTGACTATGCAGTGGGGAGCTGGTGGGCTTTGTGCGTCACTCTAATCTATGTATGGTTATTTCTGCAGGCTGTCTGCTGATCTTGTGCTTTGGCCATGCTTTTGAGCTTCCCAAACACTGCAGCTAGAGGCACAATTTCTGTTCTCTTAAACATCAAGCTTTAGCTGGCTGTCATCCATAGATAGAGGGCTGTCTCTGCTCATGTCCTCTGCTCAGTCCAGCATTGTGTTGGCTGCAAACAGGGCTATAATTCAGTTCATGAAATTGTTATTAAATTGAGATAGTAACCAGTACAATGAGAAACTGTAACCACTGTACACGTTAGTGTGTGCAATTGTGGGTTTGGGAGTGGTTTTTGTTGTTTTGCTTTCTCTCCCCCAAGTAATTTGCAAAAGTGCATACTTTGGTTTTGCAGATGATACATAAGGAGTCTGAGGCCACTTGAGTTGGTCATAGCTGTACTTGAGGTGCCTCTTCAGCCTACGCTCAAAGGCTTTTACTTTTTTTTCCAATTCTCTCCCCAATCCCACTGGGGGCGGGGGTGAGTGAGCGAACGGCTGTGTGGTGTTTAGCTGCCTGCTGGGTTAAACCACGAAGCTACTTCAAGCTGATTCCTGTGGCTTTAGATGGCCTGCAAATAGACTTAAGTGCTATGCTAGTGCAAAGCTCTGTGTTGCTGATATTCAAAAATCAATAGCTGAAAAGCCTCACTCTCGTATCTGTAGAAATGCATGACTTCGTAATGCTCTTTCCAAATCTGTCTTGCTGTAACTTAAAGTTCATTACCTTTCTAGAGAGGAGGTAGAGAATTTGACATTACCTTCTGCATGTTTGAAGACCATTTCCTTTAAATCTACTTTCAGCTTTTGTAAAGCATGAGATTCTCTAGCCTTCTTGGCCATTTTATTTTGTGTAATGCCATTATTTTAATTTATAGCCAAATAAAAATTAGCCAATTAAGAACACTGAACACTGACTTACTACTTTTCTCCTATTGTGTCTCTTTGTTTTCTTGTGTACAGGGAAATGGTGTGAATATTCTTTTGTTTTCCTCAGCCAGTTGCAGACTGCTGCTTCCTTCTGATACTTGTCTGTGAGAACTGGTTTTAGGATGAATTTTTCCAGTCACCCTTCCGTAACTTTAACTTACTCTAGTCCAGGCTCGTTAACTGCCTTCTAGTTTTGGAGCACTTCTTGCAGATGTAATTTAAACCAGTAGCTCAAAATACTCTAAAATGTGCATGTGCAAGAAGGATGCTTTCAGCCTTATCTGCTTGTTTGGTGGTGGGTGTTACCAGGATGTGCTTGTATTAGGAGAGCATAACTGTTAGGACAGCATGTGCTGTGCAAATATGGCATGCCCATCTTATTTGCACTTTTTCTACTCCCATTCTTTTCCCTTCATACTCCTAAGTTCTTGGGTTCTGTTGGGCAGATTTCTTGCCCACAGTTCCTCTACTTAATCACTTTCTTCTCTGGTTTAATAATTTACCATTTGATGCCCTGTGCTTTACTGAAGTTGACAAATGAAATCAATCTTTTTTTTTTTTTTTTTTAATCTAGAAAATTGGTTACTTCAGCAAAGAAAGCTAATGCATCAATTTGTCAGAATCGCAGCTTGAAGCAGGTTTACCTGTTAATTCAAATTTATTGTTTATCTTGAATGCTTTGAGTTGTTCTTTCCACTAAAATATGCTTTAAAGGTTTGCATACTCCTGAAGTCAAAGTGGTGAAGCTGTAGTGATGATTTAAGTAACTTTTTTTTTTTTCCCTCAAATTAGAGGCACTGGCTTTAGTGTTTGTCAGTCACATGGAAACACCACTGAATAACCTAAATCCTTCCCACTTTCCAACTGTGCTTCTGGCAGATTACTTGGCATGCGTTTCATCTCTCTCCTCCAAACTGAATTTCGCTTCTCTCTCAGTTGTGGCAACTTCCGGATTTGTATCCCTCTACCCGTTATCAGTCTGTTTTACTTTCTTTTGTGTTTACTCAATATTCAAATAGAATACTCTTCTAGTTTTGGACCATGCATAGGTGATTTTTCATTGCAGGCCCCCTCAACTGAATAACTGCTTTGCATCTTCTTAAGTGGTTGATAACCCTTTTGTCTTTTATAACCCAGTCTGTAAAGATAAATTGCAAAGGAAATATGTTTCCTACTGATTCTCTCTTTGTCCTTATGCTCTTTGATTTTTAAGATCTGTGTTTTTCTAAAATTCTGTTTTATATTTCTTACAAGCTTGTACTTGCTTTTACTCTTAATGTGACTGGGCACTTGGAAAGAGCACCAAGATCCTTTCACATTTTTCGCCTGGTGCCTGTGTTATAAATTTCAGAGGTTTTTTTTACTCGCTTTTGAGCTGAAGTGTACTGTTAACTTCCATTCCCTTTGTCCAGTTGGTCCTTTAGGTTCCTTCTCCTGTCTATTTTTCTGTTTAACTAGGTTGAATAAACTTGCAATTGCTCCATCCAGGCTTATTTCGGTAACAGTCTTCTGTAAGGCTCACGCTACCAGCAAAACCAGGTCTAAATGGTAACAAATACTCAGTGAAGAAGACTGTTGGCTGTTATATTTGGAAGTACCTAATTTCTGCTGCTATTAGTGTTCCTTGCCCTCCAGTCTGTCTAGCAAGTTGGGAATGTACCTGCAGTCTTTGGGGGTGTAATTTTTACCCTGCTCTTTGTGTTCATATCTAGGTATGTGTCTGTAGCAGTTCCCCAGAGGTATGTGAGAAACTTGTGAATCAAACCATTCAGTGAGTGGCATCTCAAAATCATCTTTGTAATGACATGTCTTGATCGTCCTTGCTTTTCAGGGCCTTTGCCATCAGTCTCCCTTTGAAGGGAAACTTGATTTTTATGTGTGTTCCTCTTTCTTATCTTGTGTATCACGCTTGCTTTGTATTGACAGTTTATCTGCTGGTGACTAGCGAGTTCAAGCTACAAGCACTGCTTCTCCCTGGTGTTTGTTAAAATTTTGATCCTTTCCTTTTTGGATTAGTTCTGCTTTTGCAGCTCATCCTGTGTCGTGGTTTAACCCCAGCCAGCAACTAAGCACCACACAGCTACTCGCTCACCTCCCCTCTGCTGCAGTGGGATGGAGGAGAGAATCAGAAGGGTAAAAGTGAGAAAACTCCTGGGTTGAGATAAAGTCAATTTAATAGGTAAAGCAAAAGCCACGTGTGCAAGCAAAGCAAAACAAGGAATTCATTCCCCACTTCCCATGGGCAGGCAGGTGTTCAGCCATCTCCAGGAAAGCGGGCTCCATCACACGTAATGGTGACTTGGGAAGACAAACGCCATCACTCCAAACATCCCCCCTTCCTTCTTCCCCCAGCTTTATTTGTATGCTGAGCGTGACATTCCATGGTCTGGAATATCCCTTGGATCAGTTGGGGTCAGCTGTCCCGGCTGTGTCCCCTCCCAAGTTCTTGTGCCCCTCCAGCCTCCTCGCTGGTGGGGTGGGGTGAGGAGCAGAAAAGGCCTTGGCTCTGTGTAAGCACTGCTCAGCAGTAAAGAAAACATCTCTGCATTATCAGCACTGTTTTCAGCACAAATCCAAAACATAGCTCCATACTAGCTACTGTGAAGAAAATTAACTCTATCCCAGCCAAAACCAGCACATCCTGCCTGAGTCTTGCTGTCGGCCTTCTGTGTGCAAAACACAAATTCATGTGCATTTTTGATTGGGTCCAGTCCATCATGAGTCTGTCTCCTGCCTCCTCTCATGTTTCTTTTGTTGCTCTGCTTTCTGTTGCTTTCTTTGCCTGTCCAAAGAAAAAGTTTCACTGGTGTGTCTGGTCATTCAGTCATACCTTTCCATGACTCCTCTGAGATGATATTTGATACATAACTAGTTTAGGTCAGGGATTCATTGAAGACTAATTGGTGTTGTGCATAGAGTTTAACTCAATTTCCTTCCATATAGTGCTTGCTTAAAGTCTCTTGGCATCTTATCTCTTTAGCTCTCCAGCACAATGGAGTCCTAGTGGCACTGGTGTAACTCCAAAAGAGCTCAGTGAATCAGGCAACCTGTGTATTTTTCTGCTGTTTTTTTTTAAGGTATTGACATGTTGTACTTGCTGTTGCTGGGTCCTCCTTCTGCTCAGAAGGTTAAATGTAAAACTACGGCATGGGAAGCCATAAAAAAAATCCTTTGGGTTTTGAGAGGCAACTTGGACAAAGCATGGGAAACAATTGCCTTCTTTGAGATATGCTTGACAAGAGCCCAAAACCGATCTGAGAGGGTTGGTGAGTGACCAAGGCATAAAAGTATAACCAATAGAAGATGAAGTCAGAGTAGGAAAAATAGTTTTCTTTACATTTGCATACACCAAGTGGTTTGTGCCTCAAGACCCTTTATATACAGCTCCTCTGCCTTGAGGTAGTGTTGGTTATGCTCTTCCTTTGTATGCTTTTCCCAAGGCAGCTGCTGCTGGGCACTTTTGGAATGGGCATGCTTAACTAGATGTGCTTCTGTCACTGCTGCTGTGCTAGATGAGATCTGTAGTGGTTGCAGGCAAAGTCGGTGTTTTTTTTAAATAAAGATCCAGGTGTAACCAGGGGAACAAGTTAATAAGGATGGTATGCTTAAAAATTAGACAATGTCTGTGTTGCAATCTGTTTATGAATTAGGTGGTCTTCTACTTGAAGAGTGCTTGCTATCTCCATGCGTTTGGGAAATGGGAGAACAAATGTAGCATGAGGATTGAATGAGTGAGCAAATCTGATCATCTAGATCTGTTTCACCCACAGGTTTTATGGCAGTCAACAGGTCAGACCTACTGGATGCATTGGCATATGTTGGAGATTATTGGCTTTGGAGACCAGTGGGAAGATCTTGCTGCTCAGGAAAAAGAATATAGTCTGATAGAGAGCTTTAATCTAGACACAGGTGAGATTATGTGCTGCATGTGTGTGGCTGTATCATCTCTTTCTGGTTCTGCTGTGGTATGTTTTTGAGTGGTGAACTTTATATGCCTAAGCGTATAGCAACTAGCAGGTTGGATTTAGAAAGCATTATGAGCTTTTAGTTTGTATGACCATGTAGAGCTGGTTAAGTAATTACATGGCTTGTGGTTGCATGGAGTATTTTTGAATCCTAGACTTCTGTCATGATATAATAGAAGTAATGATATAAAAAGCATAAAATTTTATTTTAAACTGTGACTGTCAAAAATATGTGTTCGAATTAACTGAACAAACTGCCAAAATAAGAACACAGACTGTCTCTGAGATGAAGCTGCTTTAGGGACCCTCAGATCCCCTTTAAGTGATGTGGATTTCTAAAAGCATTAACATGCCAACAATTTATTTAACTTCATACCACTCAGTTTTGGGCAAGGTGAGCATTAAATGCAGTTTTCATAAGACATCTGCAGAGTCTCCTAGAATCCTTTGACATTGGTCTTGTACTGGGAGAGATAAAAGGGAAAATCCAGACTTCAGATACCCCTTCCTCGTTCAGCGTCTGACATGACTCTGGCCAGGGAAACCTGTTAAAGTAACTCTTTTATCACACCAGCAATCTTGTAGGACATCTTTTGGAGAGAGTGATTTGGATTTAACTGCTGCAAGAGACAGAATATACATGAGATCAGCAGCTAATCATCCACTTAAAAAAAATATTCTTATTGCCGGTTGAAAAGATGGCTTCTTTAATGGCTTCTACATCTTTTAACTAAATACATAACTGCACATCAGTTTGAAGTGGTTAAGTTAAAACAAACTTGGTTAGACTTTGGCTTTTGTCTTGGTCTTTCTGGTTTTGATAGAAGCATGGGTTCTATTTCACTTCTGTGTAAAACTCTTACCAGTCATCATATCCCACACAGAAACTGAACTGAAAAAGTAGATGCTTTCTGCTTTGGATCTTGACGGTTGGATAAATTAGCTCATGTTGACTGACTGTTGGTAATTAGCTGTGTATCTAGTTGCTCTTAGCACGCTTGAGTCTCTTGGAGTGAGTTTGGCCCTTTTCTGTTGAGTCTTGAGGTGGTGAATATCTCCCACCTTGCATTTGCAGAGAAAGCTGCGAGTTGTTGCTTAGCAGATATCAGCAAGTGTTGATTCAGCTCTTATTTCTAAATTACCTAAGGAATATCGAACCTACATAACATTTTATCTCCCTCTCTTCATTTTGGATGCATTAGCTAAAAGGAGCATGATAGCTATGCGGTCTTGTTTTGCTTTTGCCTATGAGTATTTGCCCTGATACCCAGCAGGAGGCATTTGGAAAAGAGAGAAGCTCTTGGCAGTAGTAACTTCTTGTCCATTGACTCCTCCAGCATCTTGGGCCAGCTCTGTTTCCCCTTCTGCAGCTGCACGCTGGCACTGTGGATTCTGCTGGTGCCGGGTGTCTGAGTGCGTTGCCCTGGCTGGTCCAGGCACCGTGGGAACAGGTTGGGGGAGCAGTGAGCTAGAGTTGCCCACTTTAAGCGTGTGCTTTTTCTGTTCTACAGCCCAAAGAGGTTCAAGTGAAGATGGTAATCCCCATCTCTGCAGCTTGTGGGGTCTCCTCCCAGCACGTTCCCCCTTTCTCGCTGCCCTCCTGTCACCTCCCTTTCCCACAGCAGGCTGTGGGACGGTGGGGACCTCTTCTGCCCAGACGGTCCGCACGAGCTCTTTCCCTGGGGAATGTGGGGTGTGCAGCAGAGGATGGGGGAATTGGCAGAGCTGACAGTGCCCTTCCTTGCTCTGCTCTCCTGCAGTTGCGCAGCCGTTTTTCTGCAAGCCCTTTGGGGGCCTGTACTCTCTGCCTTACCTGGGGGAGCAGCCGGCCAAGGCTGCAGAGGCCCTGAGCCGTGCCGAGTGGTGGGAGCTGCTCTTCTTTGTGAAGAAGCTGGAAGTGCAGGAGCAGAAAGAGATCATCTCTCTCATCCAGCAGGACCAGGGGGAGCAGGTAAGGGCCAGAGCCTGCAGCGGGGAACTGGGAGGGAGGGAGTGAGGGAGAACGATAGGGAAGGGACCGGGCGCGGAGGAGGAGATGGCAAGCGTGAGCTGTGTAGGGATGGCCTGAACGGGGCAGAACTGGGACTGCAAGGGGAGGGTGAGTCGGGGATGGCGAGAGCGTGGGGAGCTGGGCACAGCAAAGGAGTGAGGAGAGATGAGAGGAAGTGCGGTCTCCCGTGACCCTGGAAGGGTGACTGTGTCCGGCGAGGTTTGGGTAGGCGAGGCAAGCCCACGGGGTGATTCTGCCGGTTGCGGTTGGGTGGTGAGTGCTGGTGGGAGGTCTGGGCTGGTGGTAGTTGGGTTGGAGACTGCCAGGGGAGGGTGGCACTGGGAAATGGCCTCGGGGCCCTCCAGCGGTGCAGCCTTTCTGTCCGTCGTGGCGCTGGCCGTCACAAGGGGCGTGGGGTCTGTGGTGAGTCCGTGAGGGTTAACGTGACCCCGTCTGTCCAGCTGTCGGAGGTGGATGAAGAAGCCCTGATCCAGCTGTCAGTACCTGCGGAGCTGGCCCAGAAGATGCTGCGGGTCTTGGAGCAGCGGTGCCAGGGCAGCGCTCAGTGTGACCTGCGCGGCTCCCACGTCTACGCCAAATACTTCCTCGGCAGGGGGGCCGAGCAGGATGGCGGGGGTGGCCCCGCGGTGTCCTCGGAGGGTGCCGGCTGCAGGAGCGCTGGCCCTGAAGCCACAGCGGCGAAGGAAGACCTTTCCGCAGCCACAGTGCCGCCCCAAGCCCCCGCTGTGGCGGCCAAGTCGGATTCCCAGCTGTTCAGCGAGCTCCTGGAGAGGGAAGGGCTGTTCTTCCCCGAGGTGACGGAGGAGCAGATCAAAGGTAATCGCCTGCTACGCGCTGGGGCGCACGCACGGTGGCGGAGGCGGCACCGTTGCCTCGTCGGAGGAAGGCTCTGGGCAGGACACGGGAGGCCAGGCGCCCAGAGGTTGCCTGGGACGGGGGGTCCTGTGGGTGCTGGTGGGTCTGTGGGTGCGTGGCACCCCGGGAGTTGCTGGGGGTGTTACTGCTGCCCTAACGCCTGTGTCCCCGTCTCCTTCCCGCCAGCGTTGGGCAGCTGCGAGGGGGCGAGCGAGAGGGGCTCGCTGGCCAAGATCGCAGCCGTGGTGGACGTGGTCCAGAGCAGCAGCTCGGAGGTGGGGCTGCGCTTAGCTGGGCTCAAGCACATCGTGAAGATCCTGGAGGAGGAGCCCGAGCCCGAGCAGCAAGTCGGCAGAGCCCAGGGCGGGCTGGGGACCAGGAGCGTTGGGTGAGCCGTGGGGTGTCGCACAGCCCTCCTTGCTGGCTGGGGAGGGCTGTGTCGGCAGGGTGGGGGAGAGTACCGGAGGTGGCAGCGGAAGCGCGACGGCCGGTGTGTCCCTGCGTGCTGGGCAAGAAGAGAGGTGGATCTCGTGTGCCTTTGTCCCAGGCCGGCTCGTTCCTGGGGCTGACCCGGTGCGGTAGAGGCACGTGGGCAGGTAGAAGGCGGCTGGCCGGGCCCGGG